GCCCCTGATTGCTTAACCTATTCTTTAATTTTGATAGCTTTGTCGCCTATGCGATTAATTATATATTTCTTTCTTCAACTCAGTCAGAGTTAGAATTACAGTTTAATTGCATAAAACATATTCTGCCATTTTTTTTGTTACTTGTGATTACTATTTTACGTCTAAAGTGTCCAGGTACTTGAGAAGGCCACACAGGTTCACTAATTTCCAACAGATAAATCAAACATGGACACGAACAAATAAAAAGAACCAATGAGGTGAATGAGCAAGAAAAGTGAAAGAATGGAAGAGAGAAAGAAGAAGACAAAGAGTAAAGTTGGCATAGCACTATGAATGCAAGCAGTCCACGTATTTACTTACCTTCTTGTTCTGATACAGCATTTTTCAAAAGCCACCAGTAACTCAGTTATATGCGCACTTTTCACATAACACGTGGTCAAGAACGTTATTAATCTGCTATCCCTCTACCTTAGTGTGAGGAAATAGCCAACAGTGTTTTCCAGTGATGGATCAGTTGATATCTCGAAGTTACAACCTTCCATATGTTTGAATAGAAGTGGTCAGTCACGTGGTTAGCACTAATTACCTTGGTGAAGACTGGCATCAACGTTTTAACTAGGTAGTGTGATGTATAGTCAATTTGGAACAAGTTTTTAAAGATAGTGCTATCTAGTAAAAGTGACATCTACCGTACCAAACAATTAAGTGCACACACTGTGTTTGTGAAGAATAAAGACTGAATTTTTGTAGAATTGTGTCCAGACTCTATTTCTTATTCACAAACTCAGTTACTCAAAGAACTCAGAATTACTTTGTAATAGATATTCTGATTGATTTTCCAGCTATTCTGCAGACCTACCTTGTCGCTCTACGGGTAATCAGTTCGACCTGAAAAATAACACAGGGCAAGCTGGAGAATAAAAGTCTTATCCAGTTTATAGAGAATACATCTCACTGAATATATATATTGTTACGTCTCTGGTCGTTAGTTAATTTTCCGTATAA